ACATAGTTTGTTGGTTTTTAATAGAGTTTTTGCTTTATACTTCAATTGTGTGATGAATTGTTACTTATTCATGAGAAATATATGATAAAAATTCTATGATAAAAGTCTTATGTTTAGTTTTGTTCCTATTATAATAATCAACATGATGCTTCTATGTCTGTATTTTGTTTTTATCAACACCTCTCTCTCAAAGCATGTGGACATGTTTTTCGATTTCGGTTTTCGCTTGACAACAAGCGAGGTCTAAGCTTGGGGGAGTTGATACGTCCATTTTGCATCATGTTTTCTTACTGTTATTTATGATGTTTTTATCCATAATAATTCTTTTTGGAGTAATTCTAATGCCTTTTCTCTCATAATATGCAAGGTGTACACAAAGAGGGAGAATTCCGGAGCTGGAAATCTGGACCTGGAAAAGCTACGTCAGGCTGCCTATTCTGCACAACTCCAAACAAGCTGAAACTTCATGGAGAATTTTTATGTAATATTTGAGTAATATTGGAGCAAATAACTATCACAGGGGGCCCACCAGGTGGGCACAACCCACCGAGGTGCCCAAGGGAGCCCAGGCGCGCCCTGCTGGGTTGTGCTCACCCAGGCCCACCTCCAGTGTCCATCTTCTGGTATATAAGTCATTTTGATCAAGAAAAAATAAGGAGAGGACTTTCGGGACGGAGCGTCGCCGCCTCGAGGCGGAACTTGGGCAGGAGCACTTTTGCCCTCCAGCGGAGCGATTCCGCCAGGGGAACTTCCCTCCCGGAGGGGAAAATCATCGTCATCATCACCAGCAACTCTCCCGTCTTGGGGAGGGAAATCTCCATCAACATCTTCAACAACACCATCTCATCTCAAACCCTAGTTCATCTCTTGTGTTCAATCTTGTTACCGGAACTATATATTGGTGCTTGTGGGTGACTAGTAGTGTCGATTACATCTTGTAGTTGATTACTATATGGTTTATTTGGTGGAAGATTATATGTTCAGATCCATTATGCTATTTAATACCCCTCTGATCTTGAGCATGATTATCATTTGTGAGTAGTTACTTTTGTTCTTGAGGTCATGGGAGAAATCATGTTGCAAGTAATCATGTGAATTTGATATGTGTTCGATATTTTGATAGTATGTATGTTGTGATTCCCTTACTGATGTCATGTGAACGTCGACTACATGAAACTTCACCATATTTGGGCCTAAGGGAATGAATTATGGAGTAGCAATTAGATGATGGGTTGCCAGAGTGACAGAAGCTTAAACCCCAGTTTATGCGCTATTCCGTAAGGGATCGATTGGATCCAAAAGTTTAATGCTATGGTTAGAATTTATTCTTAATACTTTTCTCGTTGTTGCGGATGCTTGCGGGAGGGTTAATCATAAGTAGGAGGTTTGTTCAAGTAAGAACAACATCTAAGCACCAGTCCACCCACATATCAAATTATCAAAGTACCGAACACGAATTAAACCAACATGATGAAAGCGACTAGATGAAATTCCCGTGTACCTCAAGAACGCTTTGCTTATCATAAGAGACCGTTTTGTCCTGTCCTTTGCCTCAAAAGGATTGGGCTACCTTGCTACACTTTTTTACTATTATTGTTACTTGCTTGTTATGAATTATCTCGCTATGAAAATACTCCGCTACTTACAATTTCATCGCTTGCAGACATTACCTTGCTAAAAACCACTTGTCATTTCCTTCTGCCCCTCGTTGGGTTCGACACTCTTACTTATCGAAAAGAGCTACAATTGATCCCCTATACTTGTGGGTCATCACGCGGCCTCGCCCGAGCAAGGTGTCCTTCAATGATCTCCTCTGGCCTCCGTTGTCATCGCCGTCGTGGCACCGCCTGGGGCCAGCCGAAGGCATGCCCCGGCATCCCATGGACGCCACCTGCACAGGGGGCGCACGCGCGGCCCCTGGCCGTGCGGCTGCCAGCCATTCTCCACCCCAGGCACCCAACCATCACCCGGGGGGCGGCTTGGGTACAGGCGGTCAACATCGTCCGAGGAGGGGAGTCCGCTCTGCCCGGAGTGGGAGGAGCGCAAGGACAGGGGCGACTAGTCTTCAAGTGATTGATGTGCACCAGGACGTCCCACCGGAGAAGCGACAGCGGCGGCGCCACGGTGCTGCTTGGCGGCAAGAGACCGTGCATCTCCTTGGCATGATTCCACAACGTCCTCTTGGTGAGGATGTGCGGCAGCTCCCAAACCGAGACGGCGAACAACTTCGTGTCCGAGCGCTCGAAAGTGCGGTTGTCGAGGTAGTCGATGATGAGATTTTCTCCGAGTGCGTCCTTCACGCACTCCAGTGTCTAGAGCTGCATGGGCAGCTTCTCCAGAACGACACGCACATGCAACATCCATGTGTCGTGGAGGGCGTGTGTGTCCTCCCTCCATGGCTCCAGCAGGAACGTGATGCCGTCCACCATGATCGAGCCCCACCGCACGATGAGGTCCTTGTGGGCCAACAGGTTGAAGTGGATGAAGAAGTCCTCCGGGTCATGGCTGGTGAGGCGGGTGAGGTGCGCAGGGATCTGAAACTCCTTCTCCACCACCCAACCGAAGGAAATGGGGCTGGCGGCATGGAGCTTGCTGACCACGGTGACCACGACCACGTCCTGCTGCAGCGGGAAGATATGTTGCTCCATCTCCGACGTGGAGGCGATCACCTTGTGGCTGTTGCACGTCTGGTGCCCGTGGTCAATGCAAATCATCCTGTGGACATCGCCATGAACGAATCATCAACCCCGCATGTTTTTTATTGGACCGATGATAAGTGTTTGTACATGAGTTATTGAAATCGAGGTGACTTCAGGGGGAGCTGACCCCGCAACCCATAGGATTTAGGCCCATGGTGTGGCCTTCTTTTGGGAGTAATAGTACAAACCTACCACTTTGGGGTTAGGGTTACAGAAAGCTACCACTTTTCTAAAAAAATCCCTAAAACCAACCATTTTTTGGTTGTCTGTTTCAAAAAACGCAAATTGTTGAATGTTAACTTGACAAGTCCACGTTAGCGCTAGAAAGACGGCGCGCGGAGATAGGCTTTTCTGTAGCCGATTTTTCTACCTGTTTTGGGAAGAAGGTTCCCGAAAAGGGCCTATTTTCTATTGGTTTCTTTTACTGGTATTTTTGTTTTTTTCCTTTTCCTTTTTCTGTTTTTCATAAATTCACATTTTTTTACAAAAAAATCAAAATTTTCAAATTTTGTTGAGATTTTTAAAAAAATGTTCGGAATTTTCATTTTTTCGTTCATGCGTCTATATGTTCATAATTTAAAAAACAATTAACCTTTTCAAAAATAAATTAAAAATTCAAAAATTATTCAGAAATTTAAAAAATGTTTAGAATTTAAAACATTTGCACAATTTTCTAAAAATGTTCACACTTTTGAAAAAAAAAATTCAAAATTTGTGCATGTTGTTCAACAAAGTTTGGAATTTTATAATTTGTTCACAATGTCAAAAAATGTTCACATTTAAAAAAATGTTTGTTCTTTTTAAAGAAGATTGATATTTAAAAACTGTTTTATGTTCAAAAAAATGCTCTGATTTTCAAACATTATTGGCCTTTTAAAAAATCATTCACTATTTCTAAGAAATGTTTGTTTCAAAAAGTGTTCGGATCTGCCGTCTGAGTTTGTTCTTAAATATCCACGCTACTCAATTTTCACATACACCCAGCTCGACTAAAAGATGGTCAAGACATAGAGGTCAAGTTCGTATCCCTTTGAAGGCATTTTTGTGAATTTATTATACACCGTGGTGCTACAATGTTGAACGGGCATTCTCACGTAATGGGTCGGCCCAGCCGGGGCTCCATGCGTGCGTCACTGGCATATTTGACGCAAAATGCGTCAAGTAGGAGCTCCCCGCTATAGTACACCATCAACATAGCTCAAGTTGCAACATTCAAACTTGTAGATTATTGTGCTGCCTGATTCTTCCGAGGCCTTAGCATGCTTACAGGGTGATGGCCTAGCTCGCTCAGCGTATGGTCATCTGGTTGCTGAAATCCAAACACTTATGGGAAGCCGGGAGTTTATTCGTCAGAAGTTTCGTAGGGAATAAAATAGGGTAGCAGATCGATTGGTGACATATAGTCGTACTGAGTGTAGCACTGCTGTATGACTACGCAGAGGACCCCGATGTATAGAGGAGCTCTTGCCTCTTGACTGTAACCCTATCATTTTGAAATAAAACTATTTCCCCCTGGGAAAAAAAAAGAGAGCTCAAGTTGCAAATGAGCGGGTTGCAGTGAACGGCTGACGCAGCAAATCAGATAGGCGTCGATCCGATCTGCGCGTTGAAAAATGGCCTTTTCCTCTCGTTTGGACATAATGCATGAGTGGCCCAGTGTAGAAGAAATAGTTAGTTAGGCCTTGCATGGGCAGTGAAAACAAGGCCTACTATGCTGGCCCGTGTATTTCTAGAAAACTGGCCCCTATTTATTTTTTGAAGTTCGATACTGTTACAAACATTTCTGCTTCATGCAAAGCAATCAGATTATCAGACAGATCACAGAAACATGTTTTGGTGTGCATCAGTGCATGGCGCAATCTGGTGCTTGTAGACATGGAAGTAGCAATGGAGTTCTAACAGAAAGAAGAATAAGTTTTCTTTCTGGTGTGTAGTTGTTTCATAGCCTTACAGGAGCTCCCTAGACAGGGTCATGTACCACACAACAACTCATACATATCAGAGGGGATGATCAAGCGGTAAATCATTTCTTCGGATTTATGCAAGCGCAGCGAGTTTTGTTGTCCTCCGAACTGCAATGAGCAGCCGCGGCAGCCTCCCTGTCGGCGATAGCAAGCAATTCCTGGCTTGTTCACAGAGGAGACGCGTCACTCTCCGGTGCTTCCTACTGCAGCAAGCACCTGCAGCTTCAACCTACAAGCTAGCTCTAATGCCCCCATCATCTTGACCAGATCCTGGATAGCGTCACAGCTGTGACTATGAGTGAGTAGTGTATGTTGTACTGTCGTCTCCTCCTGGCGCTCAGACTCTGGAGCACGCCGCTATAGCCGGGCCGCCCCTCGTCTCCCTGGTGTTGTAGGAGCTGCACCCAGGACACTTTTGCGCCAGGACGTGGAAGCGCACGCTCGACGTCGCCCCGCAGTCGTTGCAGAGGATCCATACCTGGAAGAAGAAGAAGAAGAAACACATCACTGTTTGTTCAGGTTCCAGCATTGGCAAGATGGTTACATGGTGTGGTTGTCAGTTTGTGGCTTACCACCTCGCAAAAAAAAAGTTTGTGGCTTACCATCTTCTTCTGGTAGAACTCTGGCATCGGCGTGGCGGCGACCTCCTGGTCGAGCTTCTGCCATGCATCGGTCATGTCGCAGGCCGACCGTGAGCAGACCGGGCACGAGAAGCTGGGGAAAACAAACCAACCAACCAAGCAAGCATCTTGATCAGATCAGACCCTCTCGTCCATTTCATGTGAACAAACAGCTGTCTGAAGAAATGCTTACTGGTGATGAACCCTCATCTCGTTCAGGCATTCCAAATGGATCGTGTGCCCGCAGTGCAGTACGCTGATGTCCATAGTCGAGTCAAATAGGTACTGCGAATCAAAAACATGGTTGTCTTTAAAGATCAAGAATAGCTAAATCACGAGTGTTTAGGGCCTTGATTAGAGCAAAGCCTCACCTCGAAGCAGACAGGGCAGTTGTGATGCATTGCTCGTTCCACACAATGATGAGAGTCCTTCAAAACATTGCTGTAGCAACACCCTGTCAGTGAACAAGGGCATGATTGCTGTTAGAGCCATCTTTAATGGAGAGACATGCCATGAAAAGCTTACAACACAGTAACTTTCACACCCAACGCACCGCATTTTTCGCAGTGGAAGAAGTTGTCTATGCCGCCAGTTCTGAATAAGGAGAACAATGTATCCAACATTTGATCATTCTGGAAGAGAAAAACAGTAAACGTTTTGATGAAAGAAGGATGACCGTAAATTAGGCACTTGCCTGCAGATGCCGCATCCATCGCAGTGGTACTGCTTCTTTGAGATCTGTAATAACAAGGTAACACAGCTGTCAGACATCGAAAATGAAAATGCTTAATAGAGTAACTATTCCTTGGCTCAGGAATGTGAACACGCTTACATCATCGTCAAAGAAGTTGCATTTTTCACAGAAGTATTTTCCCATGCATGCCCCGCAACCGGAGCAGTTCTGTTGCACCTGTTGATCCAAACGAGCAGTTTTCATGTCATGTCATGCCATTAGTACAGTCAAAAGGTGAAAGTTACTGTAGAATTACACGTACATCCTGTTCTTTGTTGCAGAGAGAGCAGATAACCTGTGATACATCACAAAGTAGAATAGCTTTAGTAAGTATGTGAGTTCATATGATTCCTACTGACTAGTGTTTTCTTTGGAGAGAAAAGAGAGAGAGAATAAGAAGTCCACTGTAATTGCCCAATATAATTATGTGACGAGAGAGGTGGTGGACATGGACACATGGTGGAGCTAGCTACATGGCTACCCGATGCAATCATGGCCTTCAATTATGCGCCAGCTCAATCAGTGAAGTGCCGTTAAATCGAAATTAATCTTGATTGACAGCGAAGTATCCTTTGTCGTTTCCATTTCTTCCACTTTCCCCTTTCTCCGAGCCGCCTCCGTTGTGGTGACGCCGACACATCGTCGCATCCGCATGGACCTACCTAACAATCATGTGGAGTCGATGACCACGCCGGCCGGCCGGCCACTTGCGCCGATTCTGATGGCGAGAATCGAATATAAAACAGAAATATCAAGACCCGGCGGGTCATCCAAAGATAAACCCTACGTATCAGTTATCTGACGAAACGGGGCGGAAAAAAGATCTTGGGATGGGCGACCGGGCTCCCTTGGCCACTGCATGGCAGTTGGTGCCTTGGAACTGTCCATGCGTGCACAGCCATAACCATCGGATTGGAAGGGAGTGAGCAAGTGGGATTGCAATTCTACCGCCGGTACCCGAGTGGAGGAGGAAGAAGAAGAAGGTCGAAGGCATACAGCAAAACACGGAAGAACTGGGGTTGAATTCGGTAAGAGAGGGGGATAAGGAGCACGCACCTTACTGATTTCGTGGCGGGGGATTTCGTGCCGGTCGAGGAGGTCCACCTCCAGCGAATTCTGCAGCAACACAAACAGGCCCAAATGTTTCAGAACCTGTCCGAATTCAGAGCACAGCCCGACCGACCGCGAAAACGCGCGGCATGGCGTTGGCGTTGGCGAGAAAGGAAAAGGCACTCTATCCAGACCTTAGCTTGGTTATGGCAATGCCGGCAGCCGAAGACCTCGCCGCAGCAGGGCGCCCGTATCCTGCACCTCCTCGTGTAATGCTCGCAGCTTCACCCGGAAACCACGAATCAGCGGCAAACCCGACAGATGCCATCTCTGAGTCTCGAACTGAAAAACTGCTTGGTTTGATTTGATTTGCTTACCCGTGCTGCTCTGCTCCCAAATCCATCTGTCCGGCCGTCTCTGCTTCCTCCGGGTTTCCTCTCTGGGAGAGGAGAAGGAGATGCGATCAGCTCCGCCGGAAGGAAGGAATCGGAGTCCGGGAGAGGCTCGCTGCCGTACGCCCGCCCACGCGCACGCGCACGCGCCCGGCGGGAATTAATAAGAAAGAATGGGGAGCCTGTGTTGTGCGTGTTGGAGGAGAAGCGCGGGACGCGGGCCGGATATATAGGCAGAGCAGAGGGGGGCTGGACCTGGACCAGCTTTTTGTTTTTTCATTTCGTTCACGAGTTGAAGTTTTGCTTGTGTTCCAACTTCCAACATGTGGGATGGCCGCCACCTTCTTTCCATGAAGTGAATCCCAAGTTCAATACTCCGTATAATGTACTACTCCAAAAGACTTAAAAAAAGGGAATTTCCGTTTGAGATGCAGTGGACATAACCATAAACTCGCTCACATGTCAACTCTTTTATCATCTTTTATTTGACGATATGATCGAAGCAAAACTTGTTGCTCCTCCCTCACGACTTCGTCACTGTTATTACTATTATTACTGTTATTACAGGTATGAATTATAAATCATTTTAATGACATGGCTAGTACTGTCCGATGGGTGATGCACTTAGACGTGAGCTGGAAAAGCTAATTGTACCTATCAACCCGTCAATCACCATCCGTATATCAACAAAAATAATGCAAGTTGCCAGCGGCAATACGCGCCCACGGAAACATACTGGGATGGTTTCCCAGGGTCGGCGGGAGGGGAGGTCGGCCTCGGACCAGTTCTGACGGTGCCGTGGCTGGATGCGGATTAGGATGACGGCGGTTACACCTTACAGGTAGGAGCGGATAGGATGCGGGGTCGCCGGATAGACCTGCCAACTAGGACCAGCTTGTGCACGACCATTCAAGGTTACCCTACTCATAATTTTTTCTTTTTTAAACAACCTAAATTCTGCATCTTTTTGGTGTTTCTTTTTTTTTTTGCAGGAAAAACTGTTAATCTATTCATCTTTTTGGTGTTTCGAGGCTGCTGACCCGCAAATAGACACAGTAAATATCAAATTTTTTTCATCTGGACGTTGTCCGCAAACATGATGCGGGAGCCTTCCAACCAATGTTGTTTCCAAATTTATCCAGTTGGCCGGAGAGAGGAGAGGGGGACCATGCAGATGAAGAATGAGAAAAAAAAGGAGAACCATGTGGTTACTTTTGGTTGGTCAGGTGGATGTATGGACTCCCGCAAAGCCTCCCACGTTCCTCCTCCGACCTTGCCTATTCATCCTTGTTCCTCCCCTCTCTTCTCCCTCGTCCGCGTTGTCCCGCCCTAACTCCGCCGCCACCCTTGCTCCGTCATCGGCAACACCACCAAAACACTCATCCCCTCCGTTCTCGCCCGTCCGGACACGGTCGCCAGCTCGGACGCTGTCGCGGTACGCTCCTGCTACTCCTGGACTACGCCTTGCCCTCAATGTGTTCGACAGAATGTCCGACCCATTATTTGTGATTGTTTTGTAGGCAAAACGATGGATTCTAATGGTTCGTTCGACGAGGTGTACGAACACATAGAGCTTGATGAATTGATTCAAAAGGAGTTCTTCGATTCGTCGGATTCAGACAAAGAAGCCGAGATGATGATGATCATGAGCATCCAACAGGAAATGGACCGGGAGGTGGAGCAGATTCTCAACTTAAAGGGTTCGATCAAACGGAGAAGAGTTCTGAACCGGGATAGGGCCTCTCGAGCATGGCTACTCTACAAGGACTACTTTGCTCCTGTCCCAGTTTTCCCTGATAAATGCTGATGACATGTTGTGTCATTTTGCACAATATGATTGTTGAGGACGAAGGTGATGATGCTGCCCAAACCCATGATTTTGACAAACCTAGAGAGCAAGTCCACATCTCGGAACGACAAGATGCAGATCAGCTTATCATTTTTTTGCAGATGCATAGGAATCTTTGAGAGAATCACGTGCACACACAGTTACTCAGTGATCTTGTGGAGCGTATGTGGACCCACAATAAAAGCCAAAGAGCTATTGTTTGAACAGTGCACTTCAAATAAATTTTATGTTCAAACATATATTTTCATTGCCAACAAATATTTATTTACGTGTGATATTCACATGTACGATGGACGTGCATGGATTTGGGTTTTTGCATTTGATGAGTGTGGCCGCCCGGCAGCCGATATGAGGGACCATCCATGTGCACGTCCGGGCACATCCGCTTATGTTTAGGGGGCGGATTTGCCAAGTCTGGTCGTAGATGCTCCAACATATGAACCACATGTTAGAATTAAGATATGTTTTCATTGTTCGAACCCTTGCACGTGCTCTTTGAAACTAGACTTTGCATGAGTATATATTGACAAGCTTTTTGTGTGCAACTTTTTTATGCTACATTATGCAACTTTCATCACTACAGAATTCAACCTAAGTGCAACATGTGCCAACTTTCTGTTTTAGGTAAACAAGTTGCACATCAATTGTTAGGAAGTTGGGCGGAGCAAAAGACAAAGTTTCACATCCACTCGTAGTGGTAGGTGGGACTAAGGTGCACACATGTGGATGGAAAGTTGGACATCAATTGTTGGGCGGTTGGCCATGGCAGCATAAAAAGTTTCACATCTCACTCACAAAGATAGGTGGCATGGTGAAACTGCACGTCCACGAGAGCGGAGAAGTGGCACATCGACTGCTAGGCAGTTGGCCAGACAGCATCCGAAGTTACACATCCACTATTAGGAAGTTGGTTGGGGCAGCATACGAAGTTGCACATCTCACTCGTAAATATAGGTGGGGTGGTGAAAACTGCACGTCCACGGGGAGAGGGAAAGTTGCACATCGACTGCTAGGCAGTTC